TCACCACCCACCACTCAAAACGAAAGAGGATGGACCATTATTGGCCATTGCTTCTTTTTTCCCTTCTCGATCTCTCATTTTTGCTTCCTTTTTCTGATATGATGGTTTCGCTAATTGTCGACATCACTCACCCCCCTTTCCCATCGTCACCGCTGGTGCGGTAGCAGGAGCAGTAGCTGGACGCTTGAAGCCCCAGGGCGCAGGGCAGGTTTGCAAAAGGCCGATCTGATTACTCATGGTCGAACCCACGGGTTGCTAAGCTAAAGCGGCCAAGTTCCGATCCGGAGGACATCTCAGATGATCGGGGGGCCACATCGCGGAGTGGGGGTTGGTGGATAAGTAAGTAGTGGGAGTGGTAGTGATACTCGTAGAGTCCCAGTAGGTAGGTAGGTAATTAGAGAGGTACGTAGGTATGTAATAGGTATGGAGTACTCCAAGGTAGGTATGTGTGTGGCTTGGGTTTCCCGATCGCGTTTCCCGTTTGCCGATGGCCGACGGCCAATTCCCTTATAAGGCATGAACCCTATAGGGAAGAGGGGGGAGGATATTAGTACAAACGGTTAGTTATTTACGAGTGCAAGTAGTAAAGTACTATTCTGGATTTGATGAGTTAGTGCGACAAAAGAGGGGGGAGAGAAATGAACACACAAACAAAGTGACCTTCTATTTACGAACAAGTGTGAGAGGCTCAAAGAGCGTCATGGCGTTGTCTCGCCTCGCTGTCATGGGTGGATGGGCATCTCTTGAGGTTGGTCATACTCCGTACCGAGTATACTCGAGACAGTACTTGGGTGCGAGTAGGGGCTCGTAGTGAACCGTGACAAATCCAATACCATCACCCATCTTGCAACGAATTACAGGACGAGAAGAATGAAAACAGGGACGGGATGTGATTCCTGCCCGGTGGTTCGGTGTGTGGTGTGCGTGTACATCCAGTGCTGACATGCACCTATTCAGGTACTCAGGTACCTACCGGCCGAAGACAAATACGGGGTCGTCGGTACATGCATACGGTTCGTCCGCAGGGGAGATCGACTGGGCCCACGCCGACGGAAAGTGTGGAAGGTGGAAAGCCAAAACACATGGAGCACACGTACCTCGTACTGAGTATAGGCAAGGCTGGCCCTCTCCGTCGCCGTCTTGTGCAGTGGTTGGTCAACTGACTGATTGACCGTTGATTGACTGACTGGCTTACTCTGACACTGACCAGTGACCACCGATCAGAGCCCTCCAGGCATTGGTTTTGTATCAGGTCAGGAACGATCCAATCGGATATCAAGCCGCCAATTGCCCAATGCGTCCTCGGCGTGTTGAGTCTGACAAGCTTATACCTAGTCGAGCACTGGTCGATGGGCGACTAGGATCGCAACGTTCCCCGTCGGCCAGTCACGGAGAGGATCGATTTTGCTTGGTTGGTTCATGTGATTGTCGGTGGAAAAGAATCCCACAATCAACAAAACCATCCCATTAACCCACAAGGACACACTCGTAGTGTGAGTAATCGTACTGGGGATCGAGCTTGATGCGTTTCAGCCATGGTGTGGCGGCCACGACCACTGACCCGGCACACATCCTTAGTTTAGAGGATTTCTAAGGCATCCCCCCTTATGTCGGCACGCCCTAATATGACAATGATGACGACCATGACGCTTGATGATTTGATTGGTGTCCCCGTCAGAAGAAGGGTGTCTCAGCCTCTCAGGGCTATGAGCGAGAAGGAGATTGCGGACTCGTATGTCCGAGTCCTCGACTTCTCATCGGCCTCGGACTTGACATGAGCGAATGCACTCGTATAGTATTCGGGTTGGTACGGAGTATCCTCTTTTCGTCGCCAAGGGCCGTCTGACATCCACCACGATTTTGGTGGAGGTACTGTAAGACCTGGGCAACAAGAAGGAGGTGGCTTTTCCGGCAGTGGCGGCGAAACAATCAAGCAAGCAAGTCAATCGGCGGGTAAGCGGATGACGCCGTTCCTGGTGCGATGTGGAGGGAGCGACGAAGCGAAAACTAACAGCGCAACTCGAGGGCCAGCCATGGACCACAGGGAGGTGTTGATTTCCCTATTTCGCTTGGCCTTTATCTCGCTCTTTTTGATCGTCACGGGCTGTTATTATAATAGCGGCAACAGAATCCATTTCTGCCGGTATTTGGCAGCGACCATGACCAGGAACACTGATCAGTGTCAGTATGCTCCGAATTTCCTGAACTGGTGGTAGCTAACCGGGAGCACCAGGCGATTCTCCGTTCAATAAACGAGCGATCGCTTAGTATTCGAATTGGTAATAGCGAAAGCCGACCGTGAAATGAATGCAATGTTGTTGATCTTCGTCATAGGAAATAACCTGACGCTTGCGGTTCACCCTGCAGCTATTCATTGTCACCCTTCTTACTCCGCACCATACGCTGTTGATCCGAACCAAGGTAATGTCAGTATTCCACGGGCCGTGACGGAGGGGCTTGTTGAATTGAGATAAGGAAGCGAGCTCTCTGACATATCAAAGTGGGATTGCTGGAACCCCAGGAAGTGATAGCCGTTCACCTTTCCAGTGAGTTGCGCCATCTGACATAGACATCACTCCGTTTTCGAGGTAGTACGCACGTACCTCAAGGTGAGCTTTAGCACTCAGGGGGCACCTAGAGAAGCTCTGTAATTCCGAGTGCTCCATAAGGTGGGGATCGTAGGCAGTCTAAGGTGCAGTGAGGGACCTGGCAGCATGTCCTGCAAGGGACGCGTGCAGCACTATAGTCATTCCATGGTGACGCCGGAGTTGGTGGCATGGTAACTTCGAACTTGTGGTGTAATGATGTTTTGCAAAAGGACCATCTGCACCCCAAAAACTGACAGGGCAAACTATCATTGATTGTATGCACGATGCCCATTTGGGATCTTGGTCAGTCGTTGGTCGGTCCGCGTGCAGAGTCCATTGGTTGCCATCCTACCTGAAGACGGACACAAACACAGATCCGATAAGAGTCTGAACTGACTTCAGCTGCCGCAAGCTCCATGTGGGAGATTTCGCAACAGGTTTGGGACAAATCATTTGCCACGCGTCATCCTGCGCAACTGCATTGATGGCTGGGATGTCGAAGCCGTTGGCTGTAGTTGCAGGCCCGCTTTGAGTTGGTGGGAGGGGAAGTGCGGAAAATGCAAGTCCGCAGCGGCAACGTGCTGATGCGGGCATCCTCTCAAGGAATTCCAGTATAGGCACGAGTAGATTCAACTGGCTAGCGCTCAAAAGGACCAAACAAGTTTAACAGCGACAGTTGAGAGGCCCCTGTCGAATGGTTGCTGCACGCATCTGAACCCACAGAGCATCGCGTACTCGTACATTGCGCGGTAGTCACGCGCAACTCATTGATAAGAATTGGAGAACGGCATGCTCAGGAGATTGGACAGAAATCCGAAGACTGATAAGGAGGGGGAAAGACTAGAAAGGTGCTTCTGGTCCCTCGGCTCTGTCCCCAGCATCTTGCGAGGAATCGCACTTGTTGCTTCCCATCTTCCTCCTCCCCCTCTTCGTCTGGCCTTCATACTCTCTTGCCACTCCCACAAGGGATAGTAATAGCCGTTGTGTGGAAAGGAGTATACGATGTGTTCGGTGGTTCATGTAGTCACCCTGGTGATCCAGTCTCGCTCAGGGGTATGTGTTGGTGGCATTGTCCCTGCCCCATGTCATGTTGTTCAATATCAACCTCTTCCCCCCGTGTCAGTTGTCACAGGAAGGGGAGCGCAGGGGGTGCTTGCTTTGGCTCGCACACCTTCCCGATTTTACCGCCTCTTCCTCCTTGAGTACACGGAACATGGAAATTTGGCTCCGTTCGTCCAGCATCACGTCCTCGTACGACCGACCGCAGTCGACTGCATCCAGTGGTCGCGACAAGAGGACTGGAGCCGATAAGGTGGACAGGGTCTGGAGGGAGTCAGTGGGAGTCACTTGAAGATAGTGGGTTCAATGGTTATAGTGTTGGACGTGAGGATGAAGTCCATCTGATCGACCTTTGCGTTGCAGAATGCAAGAAAGTGGACAGCACATCGTGCATCAACCCCGCAGTCCTCACCGAGGACTTGGGACAATCACGAGTAAATCTTTGGGTCTTGGCCCTGTGAGGTCATCTGTGTAAGGCAATGATGACAGGGGCACCATAGGGAGAGGGGGCCTTCGAATGGGTGGGCCATTGAGCGAGGCCTTTACCTAACCCACATGACAAGCTTCTCCTAGATGCCCCCAGAGTGCCCCAGCTAGCCACTTATAAGTGCCATTCCCACCAAATAACCACAACCAAGCTTTGCACAAGGACCCGTAGGCGGTGCCAAAATCTGGGGTAGCGACCCCCAGTCCCCCCGGCATTCTCTTGGTATTCATTTCAAAGCAAATGGAGACATCTCGAAGGGAATATATAGGTATCTAGGTACCCTGAATATGCAGCAGTAGAACTTGACTCCTCCCCAACATCCAGAACGCCGGGCGACAAGGGGAACATGGTGCTTCGCTAAGGATCTACGCGTCCTTTGCCAGCTCTCCGGCAATCTAACTGGCTTTCTTCATGCCTGAACGTCACAAAACTCACTCACTCACTCTACCCCCAGCGTCTGGCTTCCCCGCCACCGCCAGGAACACGTCGTGTGCTCATTGGCTCCAACCGTCTCGTGATATCTCTGGCAATGTCCTTATCTCTGTCGATTCAGCGCTCTCCCTGCTTCGTAACATCAGAACACTTGCGAAGCGAACACGTGTGCCTCTGTCGTCACTCTTTTCGTCCCACCTGGATAACTCGCTTCATCCCTGGGTCGAAGAACATCGCTGATCTATTCAAGAGATAGCCCTCCAACTGCAATACCTGTCGGGAGTGAAGCGAACAGTCTCGAACCCACGCCCAGGACCATGGCAGCAAACCCCAAAGGTCGCATCTATGTCCATGTCGGACGCGGCGGCGCAGGTTCTACCACCCGTCCTCCCTTATCTCTCTTCTTCATCTTCGTCACAAAACGAGACTGACCAATGCAATCAGGCAACGTCGTCGACTCAACAGCTACAGCAGTACGCCGTCCCTCTTGGATCGCCGACACACACTTGCCGGCTGCGGCCACAGGCCACGGAGGATTCAATGCAGGTCGCCGTTTCTCCACGGGAATCGGCGGGTCAGGAAACATGTCTGTGGCAAGTAGGTTCCGAGGCAAACAGGAGGCCGATGAGGAGATGGCAAGGTTGTTATGCGACAGACAAGCGCCAGGAATTGTACTCGTTGAGGGTGGATATCACACAGGACGAGGTACATGCCAATTCCCACATCCTCAGCCCCCGGAATATCACATAGAGACCTTCGTGTATCAATCCCACGAACAGAGGACTAAACTTGGATAGGCGGCGCCGCAAACAAATATACCAACACCGAATTCGAAGATCAAGAAGCACGCTCGAATAATGAAAACATGCGACGGCTGAGTATCGCGAGTATGAGCCAGCGGAGAGAGAGCCTGGGAAGTGTCATGGGATCAGGTGGGGGGTCCAGTCGGAGGGCAAGCATAGCCTCAATGAAGGATTACCTGATGAGGAGGAGGGCGAGCAAGGCTTGAGAATTGGTATCTGGCGCAGAAGTGTCTCGAAGAGATCAGATTGCACGTCGAAATAGTTGCCGCAAGTCCTTTGAAAACCGCGATAGCCGTGGAAGGCAGGTAACTGTTGGTAGTTGAACTCATGTCATTTCCCGCAAAAAAGCTTGAGCTTGCTCGTCGAACATCTTCTGATGAGTGCCATCACCGTTTCGGGACATATCGACCAACCCTTGAGCTCGACCCAGTTCTGGTGCTCAGGTGTGGAGCAGCCAAACAGCCAAACGGCCAAACACTTGCTCGTGAGAATATGCGTCTGCGCGAGAAGCGTAATAGCCATCTTCTGCCTGTCTTTTCCGAACAACAAAGACCTGACATACACAATGATATCTCGGTAGGCGTCTGATATCCTTGATTGTGCCGAAGAGTGTCTACCGCATCAAAGCTCTGGCTCAAGCTTTCAGTCTTTTACTACCTTGCGGGCCCCAACTCTCCGTTGGGTATCCTTGCCTCTGACGGAAGTGTCTCCACGTGCTCCAGTCTCGCGATCTCCATATCGAAGTCCCGGTTTCTGATATTAGCCCTGTTCCCAGTGGTCGGCCACTTTCGCTGAGATATCCTTGTCACATCAGTGCCGACCTTTGTGAGATCCACGAACTCGGATATGTCAGTGCCTCCAGTCAGAGCCGAAGAGGTTCGCTTCTCATCTCGTGTAAACGGAAGTGATGAGTTCCTTCCACCGACAAAATCGACCAGTTTCCCAAGAATGGCAAATTCCAGCTTAAGTTTGATCGAGTAAAAGGCCGGTTTTGTGATTGTTTCGAGGATATACAGCGAGGCACATTCCAGCCCCAGTAAGCCCAGGTCCAGCGTGATGATTAAGATATTGATCGCCAACAGTTGATACATGAGTCTCTTCGTATTTGTTTGCACCGAGGAGCGAAGTGTGCGAATGGCCTCGATAATATAGATCGACGACAGAATAACTTCTTGGAGAAAGAAGCCACACATCTGCACCTTCTCCATAACATTGTATCCGTCCACAAAGGCACGGGTATGCGTATCACTGTTGGATCCGATGGTCAGAACTGTTGTCGGTATATGCAGAACAATCGCATTGACGATAATCATCCACTTCGTCCACTTCAGGATCTTGTCTCTTCTTTCGCCGGTCAACAGCAAGTGGAGTCTTGAATACAGAACAACTGCTTGTCCTGTAATCATAGGATACCAGCCAATACTCAATAGCAACAGGGAGAACCACTTCGCGCTCATGAGGATCGAAAAGTATTTGAAGATGAAGCCTATTGAGTAAGGCACGATGCCCAAGCTGGAAACGACCAGGCTCCAGAAATAAAGGCCCTTGAACTTTTTAAAGGTACCAAATATGAGGACCTGCAACTCGAGAGCGTTATACAGCGATAGACCGAGGAAGAACGCGATCATGACTTTGATGGTGAGACTGTCGCCGGTGTAGCCCCCCGTAATCCCTTCTGCTGCTGACGAGAAGGAGCTCGAGGAGGCACTTGAATTCGACGCCATTTTGTAGTAGGGGTTCAACCCAGGAGAAGGAGTGCCTCGAGGTTTCCCGGCCCATAGATGTCTCCAATCGGTCAGGCACGCGCTCGCTCGTCGGTCCTAGTGTCACTGAGCCATTTGACAGCGTACCATTAACGCAGTCTGGAAAGACACAGAAAACGACGTTTTTTGAAGCTTCTCTCGACATGTTGGGAGAAGGGAACCGACGACGGCTGAAAAATGCGACTAAAGATCAACCATCATGTCGATCAATACCCAGACCCCGCGAAGGCCGTTCAAGCGGGATCTTCTTGGCGACGGCACCAGACGGCGAGTGTGCGTTTCTATCTTATTGGATCATCCGAGTTCCGTTTCGTCGCTTCGCTGAGATATCCCCATGTGTAGCGATTCTGGGGAAACTGGGAACCAAGCGTCCTACGTCATCCCTCCCACGTTTCTTGCTCTGGTGCTCGGTAGTTGAGCCTCGACCCAGGAGTCGTTTCCACGTTGCTTAGTAGAGGCCCAGATTGTTGATCAGCAATGTGTAGGATGATCATGTTCAGGATGACTGTGTGGGCAGTAGTCGTTGCTTGTGGATCATCAAAACAAGAGGGTTTTCATTATCGCTAGGTTGGGCCTTCAGGTATAGATATATCTTCTATGTAAAAGGCGAAAATAACGGCGGTCGTGCGGATTTTCTCCCTTTCCTATGCATCATCTGAGACCACGTATGCTGCACCATCTGATGTATCACCACATTTGGCTGCGTCTGCTATCGGTCTCAGTCTCGAGAATTGTGTCGTTGTGTCGACTAGGAAGGCTGGGATGCGTCCTCGACACCGCCAGTCTTAGGTAATTTTCTGAGACTGAAACTTCTGTTGAAAGTGCGGCTTCTTAGCGATTGTCCCGAGCCCGTCTATGAGGTTTACTGTGAATAATTGACCAGGTAGTCGACCACCAAATCTGCATTCTGCACCACCGTGGCCTCGACCTTGATGTGCATTGAAGTAGGATAGGCACTGGTGGCAACACCAAGGTGGCTAGTCCTGGCAACGCCCTGAGATCGACCTTCCTCCTTGAGCTGTGAGGGCCTGGGATCGCGAGCCTAGGTTCGTGCAGACGCATGGCCTTGGGACTTCATTGTGTCTTTTGGAGGGTCGCAGAGGTTCCATGTCATATAATTTGAGAGTGTGGTTTGGCTGTTGTAATTGTCATCCAACTGCAGAATGCATTATCCAAACCCTGGACGCATTGCCCTGTTTTCACTGCTTGGTCTATTGCTGTTCCTGCTTTGCGTAGTCTGCGTTTCTTGCCGCAGTACCTCGAACCAATTGCTCATCATAACAGGGTGTTGCCAGACCATGTCTCGTGGACTACCCTCTCCTGCTGCCAACGAAAAAGCCGCCGGGCTTGAACTCCTGTCTGAGTACGCAGGTAGACTAGTTCGAGTCCAAACACGCTCAAGGCTTTCTCTTCCACTTTGGTGAGTTGTCTCTCCGGTTCGTGCCGAGGTCAGGTCAGTCAATCGGGTGGAAGGTATCGAAACAATAGAAGAGCGAGGTGATACTGCTGATACCGGCGGAGGCAGATCTTCGTCATCTTCCACGGTTACCTGAAACTCGATGGGAATAGTTTTCTTGTCTACGTTCGTCAAAGGATATTGAACGATCTCTTCATACTGCGGAGGACTGTCGTGATAACAGCTCGGGGGCTGCGCAATGGGACATCTGTAGCGATCAGGCTGTCCAGAGGTGACGGTGACGATGCGGGTATGATAGGCGGGAGCCTCGGGGTTGCTTGGACGGTCGCTAGAGGTGCAGCAAGAAAACAAAGACGCCATGATAGCCATGGCTCTGTTGATCGGTGTGCAACTAGGTATTTACAGTGGCGTCGACAGAATCTCGCATTGAAGATGTAGCAGACGGATTGGTGAAGACTGTGTGAGAGGTGGGAGCCTCGAGGAGCATGGCAGGGAGGCAGACAGACAGGCATCAGGCTGCCAGCCAAGCTTTGAAATGACGAATGGTTATAAGACAGCCCGACACAGCCCATCAAGCCCATTTACCGAGTGCTGCCCACACCAAGCCACCCCAGGTCGTCCATTATGGCCAGCATCATTCTGCATCATTTTGCAGCTTCCCCTTTCGCTGAACGCATCCGCCTTATACTCGGACTGAAGGGTTTAACATGGCAAGGCGTCGATGCCGAGCTGGTGATGCCGAAGCCCAGATTGAAGGCCTTGACTGGAGGCTATCGCAAGACTCCCGTGATGCAGATTGGGAACGACATCTACTGTGATTCACGGCTCATTGCCTTGGAGCTCGAGCGACGGTATCCAACGCCTACAATCTTCCCGAACAACAGTCGAGCATCATGTATGGCTCTCTCAGCTTGGACCGATCAAGACTTCCACATGACAGCTTCCGGCCTAGCAATAGGTGTGAACAAACATCTTATGCCGCAGTCGTTGATTGACGACCGCCGGTCCTTCTTTGGGAATGCTCTGAATGTGGACGGTCTACAGAATGATATACCGCACCTACGTACTCAGCTGCGCGCCCACCTCGACATTGTTGAGCAACACCTCTCGGATGGACGAGCCTTCTGGTTTGGAGTGCAGCCTAGCATGGCAGATTTGCAAGTTTACAGCAGCATTTGGACCGTACGCTCGAATCTACCGTTTGCAGAGTCAGATCTATCACCCTTTCCTCATGTGGTGTCGTGGGAAACAAGGATAAAGAGTTTTGGGTCTGGGACTACGAGTGAAATCACTGCGGAAGATGCAATCAAGCTGGCCCGGGCGAGCACATCAACCCCGGTGACTGAGGTTGACGACGCAGACGCTTTGGGCTTCGCAGCCGGTGCGGTGGTGGCGGTCACCCCAACGGACTATGGATGTGAGCCAGTTGTGGGACGACTTGTCAAGTTAACCGTCGCAGAGGTTGCAATCGAACGTCGCGATGCTGACGCAGGAACGCTGACTGTCCACTTCCCTCGGATTGGGTTCAGGGTGTCCCTATTATCCAGATAAACAACCGAGCAAGGCATGGCAGCTCTCTCCACTGGGCGATTCTGATACGATCCCACAGGTCTGATGCACTTGTGCCAACACCGAACGACCGACAAGATGGGACAAGAATGAGATACGCTACCACGACCAAGTAGGCTCAAAGGTCCGTAATGGAATTCTCCTCTCGGATGACTCGTAACATGGGCTGCCTCTTTGGCACGGGGACTTCTAGTGAAGTTGCATCCTCAACTGCCGCTGTCGCCAACTGCAATGGAGCGAAGATATCCACCGTGCCGTTTTCCGTTCCCCACCGAAGTATTTCCACCATCTGGAATAATCACAGGAAAGTCCGGCGGTGGTGCCTGGACAGCATCTGCAACGCGTCGGCATGCCGAGCGGTCTTTCTGCCTGTTAATATCTTCCCAAAGCACTAGGTCTGTCAAGACAACGGTGAGTGACCGGTAAGTCGTGAGGTGAGCTGTTCCCCCATCGCATA